ATGGTGTCTTGAAAAAATATTCTTTAAAAAATCCACGCCTCTTCTATGGTGGCTTGAAAAAATATTCTTTAAAAAATCCACGCCTCTTCTATGGTGGCTTGAAAAAATATTCTTTAAAAAATCCACGCCTCTTCTTTTGGCCCTTGAAAAAAATATTCTTTAAAAAATCCACGCCTCTTCTATGGCAGCTTGAAAAAATATTCTTTAAAAAATCGACGCCTCTTCTATGGCAGCTTGAAAAAATATTCTTTAAAAAGTCCACGCCTCATACAGGTGGCTTGAAATAATATTCTTTAAAAAAATCCACGCCACTTCTATGGTGGCTTGAAAAAATATTCTTTAAAAAATCCACGCCTCTCTATGGCGACTTGAAAAAATATTCTTTAAAAAATCCACGCCACTTCTATGGTGACTTGAAAAAATATTCTTTAAAAAATCCACGCCTCTTCTATGGTGGCTTGAAAAAATATTCTTTAAAAAATCCACGCCTCTTCTATGGCAGCTTGAAAAAATATTCTTTAAAAAATCGACGCCTCTTCTATGGCAGCTTGAAAAAATATTCTTTAAAAAGTCCACGCCTCATACAGGTGGCTTGAAATAATATTCTTTAAAAAAATCCACGCCACTTCTATGGTGACTTGAAAAAATATTCTTTAAAAAATCCACGCCTCTTCTATGGTGTCTTGAAAAAATATTCTTTAAAAAATCCACGCCTCTTCTATGGTGTCTTGAAAAAATATTCTTTAAAAAATCCACGCCTCTTCTATGGTGGCTTGAAAAAATATTCTTTAAAAAATCCACGCCTCTTCTATGGTGTCTTGAAAAAATATTCTTTAAAAAATCCACGCCTCTTCTATGGTGTCTTGAAAAAATATTCTTTAAAAAATCCACGCCTCTTCTATGGTGGCTTGAAAAAATATTCTTTAAAAAATCCACGCCTCTTCTATTGTGGCTTGAAAAAATATTCTTTAAAAAATCCACGCCTCTCTATGGCGACTTGAAAAAATATTCTTTAAAAAATCCACGCCTCTTCTATGGTGTCTTGAAAAAATATTCTTTAAAAAATCCACGCCTCTTCTATGGTGGCTTGAAAAAATATTCTTTAAAAAATCCACGCCTCTTCTATGGCAGCTTGAAAAAATATTCTTTAAAAAGTCCACGCCTCTTCTTTTGGCCCTTGAAAAAAATATTCTTTAAAAAATCCACGCCTCTTCTATGGCAGCCTGAAAAAATATTCTTTAAAAAATCGACGCCTCTTCTATGGCAGCTTGAAAAAATATTCTTTAAAAAGTCCACGCCTCATACAGGTGGCTTGAAATAATATTCTTTAAAAAAATCCACGCCACTTCTATGGTGGCTTGAAAAAATATTCTTTAAAAAATCCACGCCTCTTCTTTTGGCCCTTGAACAAATATTCTTTAAAAAATCCACGCCTCTTCTATGGTGGCTTGAAAAAATATTCTTTAAAAAATCCACGCCTCTTCTATGGTGGCTTGAAAAAATATTCTTTAAAAAATCCACGCCTCTTCTATGGTGGCTTGAAAAAATATTCTTTAAAAAATCCACGCCTCTTCTATGGTGGCTTGAAAAAATATTCTTTAAAAAATCCACGCCTCTTCTATGGTGGCTTGAAAAAATATTCTTTAAAAAATCCACGCCTCTCTATGGTGACTTGAAAAAATATTTTTTAAAAAATCCACGCCTCTTCCATGGCGACTCGAAAAAATATTCTTTAAAAAATCCACGCCTCTTCTATGGTGGCTTGAAAAAATATTCTTTAAAAAATCCACGCCTCTTCTATGGTGGCTTGAAAAAATATTCTTTAAAAAATCCACGCCTCTTCTATGGTGGCTTGAAAAAATATTCTTTAAAAAATCCACGCCTCTTCTTTTGGCCCTTGAAAAAAATATTCTTTAAAAAATCCACGCCTCTTCTATGGCAGCCTGAAAAAATATTCTTTAAAAAATCGACGCCTCTTCTATGGCAGCTTGAAAAAATATTCTTTAAAAAATCCACGCCTCTTCTATGGTGGCTTGAAAAAATATTCTTTAAAAAAATCCACGCCTCTTCTATGGCGGCTTGAAAAAAATATTCTTTAAAAAATCCACGCCTTTTCTATGGTGGCTTGAAAAAAATATTCTTTAAAAAATCCACGCCTCTTGTATGGCGGCTTAAAAAAAATATTCTTTAAAAAATCCACGCCTCTTCTATGGCGACTTGAAAAAATATTCTTTAAAAAATCCACGCCTTTTCTATGGTGGCTTGAAAAAAATATTCTTTAAATAATCCACGCCTCTTCTATGGCGACTTGAAAAAAGATTCTTTAAAAAATCCACGCCTTTTCTATGGTGGCTTGAAAAAGATATTCTTTAAAAAATCAACGCCTCTTCTATGGTGGTATGAAAAAAGTATTGTTTAAAAAATCCACGTCTTGTTTAGGCATAGTTTTTTTTTTTTTTGAAAATACACGCCATTTTTAATCATTGGTAAAGTATCTCTTAAAAATTCGAACATTAGTTGTACTATTCCCCTATATAAATACCTTTATGTTCTGTAATTTCATAATCTCCCCACATATAACCCTTTTCTTCGTTTTCCCTCTGTCCCAGCCAACCAACTCATTTCGTATTCTCCTTCCGGGCTTTTAACGACCATACTTAACTTCAATAAAACAAATGAGACAACAGAAACAGAACCGAACATAACAACACAGAAGTACATTAAAAGTAACAGGACAAGGATGTCCCAGGAAAGGACTCGTTCGGAATGAGGATTTCAGTTAATGAAAACATTTGAATGTTATGCTTCATGACGATAGAGGGAGACTGTGAGAGTCTGTGTCATTGTGGTTTGATGTGAGTGTTAATGTGTGTTGGTTCGCCAGCAAATGGTTGTGTGCGATAAGCGGGAGAGAGAGATACTTAAGCGTCAAAATACAAATACACAGCAATAACAGACATTGTATTGTTGTTGTCACACTGACACAAAAAGTTAATTAGATAGCTTTCCTTTTTGCTCGAACAGCACTCCCCCGCATTTCCCCTTTCGGGGATAAGCAATTGTTGAGCATTTATTGCTGTGTTAGTGTGGTTGCTGTTGTTACTTTTGCCTGTGGTGGTAATACAATTATCAAATGGCAGTGTGTACTGACAGACAGTCAGCCATTTGGTAAAGATATCAATTTGGCAAGGATGTGTGCGAGAGAGTGTGTGTGTAATTTGTGGTACTACTGCATTCTCTGCAATGAATGTGTCCTTGAGAATTGTCTAAATGGATGAATGCGAATGCGATTCTTTGTATGGGAAGTGCTGTTGCTTATTTTGCCAACACATTAAATTTATTTCCCCCGTTGTTGAAATAAGACAATTAATCCTCCATGCAATTATCAGCCTTATTTGCAGGTTGTATGGTGTGGTTGTGGTGGGTGCTGATAATCATTTAAATACTGATAATGAAATCGTAATAGGCTCTAGATAGGCAATAAAATTCACTGTTAGTTGTTATGAGATAAACAGATTTTAATGTTAAGTAACGCATTAGATAGTCTTGCAGAGTGGGTTTTTTTGACAGGTGCGAGTATGAAGGGCATTGTTAAAAAATTTTCTTCATGGCCTACAAAAGGCGTGGATTTTTTAAATAATACTTTTTAAAGCCCAAAAGTGGCGTGGGATTTCTTTCAACGCTCACAAGAGGCATGGATATATAAAAGAACACTTCTTTCAAGGCCCAAAAGTGGCGTGGGATTTCTTTCAACGCTCACAAGAGGCATGGATATATAAAAGAACACTTCTTTCAAGGCCCAAAAGAGGCCTAAAATAAATAATATTTTTTCAAGGCCTACCAAAGGCGCAAATTTTTTTAATAGGTCTTTTACAAGCGGATTTTTTATATAATATTTTTTCAAGGCCTACCAATCGCGTGGTTTTTTAAAGAATATTTTTTTCAAGCCCTAAAAGAGCGTTTGCCAAGGCCTGTATGAGGCGAGGATTTTTTAAAGAATATTTTTTTTCAAGCCACCTTAGAAGAGGCGTGGATTTTTTAGAGAATATTTTTTTCAAGCCACCTTAGAAGAGGCGTGGATTTTTTAAAGAATATTTTTTCAAGCCACCTTAGAAGAGGCATGGATTTTTTAAAGAATATTTTTTCAAGCCACCTTAGAAGAGGCATGGATTTTATAAAGAATATTTTTTCATGCCACCTTAGAAGAGGCATGGATTTTATAAAGAATATTTTTTCAAGCCACCTTAGAAGAGGCGTGGATTTTACAAAGAATATTTTTTCAAGCCACCTTAGAAGAGGCGTGGATTTTTCAAAGAATATTTTCCAAGCCACCATAGAAAAGGCGTGGATTTTTTAAAGAATATTTTTTTCAAGGCCTGTATGAGGCAAGGATTTTTTAAAGAATATTTTTTCAAGGCCTGTATGATGCGTGGATTTTTTAAAGAATATTTTTTCAAGCCACCTTAGAAGAGGCGTGGATTTTTTAAAGAATATTTTTTCAAGCCACCTTAGAAGAGGCGTGGATTTTTTAAAGAATATTTTTTTAAGCCACCTTTTTTATCCATGGTCCTTTGTTTTTAATTATATTGCTGTTTAAGCCTTCTTTATTTAAAATAATCAACGTTGTTGTTGTTTTTAATAAATACCCTTTCTGTCCTACAAAAGTTCTCGCTATTATTATTTTTCTGATATTTCTGAACAAAACTTTGCCAATAATTTTCCCTCGGGCAATTTTCATTATCGAAATCATTGCCATGTACACCAGACCAAATGAATATTTTGTGTTGTGGTTAAGAGAAAAAATTACAATGAATGAAAAGAGGGAGGAAGAGAAAAAAGGGAAGCGAATTCCATTATGAATTGTAAGTATTTATTGTATTCCGCTGCTTGTTGGCAAGACAGACATACAGTCAGTCAGCCAGTCAACCCACAAAAAATACCTTTTAAAATTCCATTTCCAATTTTTTCTTCCTCCAAGTTACTTGCATCGTTCCACTTACCTCCCAAATCAAACGAAAATCCTGTTGTTCGACTCGTAACAGTTCACAGGTGGTTTTTGTGACCACAGTACTGTCGCGTGGTAAATCGTGTAATATCGATTCGCCAAATGTGGCTCCAACGCCCAGATTACACAATGTCACTGGCGACTGCAAAAGAAAATGGATGGAAAGAAACAAGAAAAGAGAACATTAGAAGGGTATTGAACTGGAAATAAGGTTGTTGTGAAATAAAATATATTTTTTTAAAGCAATGGAATTTGGGTTAACTTTATGGCCCTGAGGCAGGTGAAATATTTTTCTGCAGAGTTTGTTTAAAAATAAACCAAGTTCTTTTATTTTGTTTTAATTAAATCAATAAATTTTTAGTTTTTTTTTTTACATTTTGGGTTATTGAAAACTTTTATCACTGCGGTCGCATTTTTATGACGAAAAGGACATAAAATCTGGGATTATGAATTTTTTCGAGAATTTGCAGAATTTCATGACCTCTTGGCAACCTCATTTTACCTATGAGAATTTTTTCCAAATTCACAGTTTCAAAATTAAATAATTTTCTTTAGGCACCTCCATCTCTTTTTCGACCATACCTTGCAGAATTTTAATAGATTGCAGTATTTCCTCTGAATAGCAATATGCGTACATACACATATAAATATACATTTATTTGTATTTGCAAGTAGTTGCTTTTTAATTTCATTTTTATATCATTCGTTTATTTATTTCAGGCGTTTTCTTATGCACAGAAATCTTCTTAGCGTTCGAATGGAAAACCCATAAAAATCGCATGGAAATTTATTTCTGGTTCCGTTTGCAAGCAGCAAATAAACCAAATGGGATTTTTATGTTTCTCTTTCTGGTTGATGGGAATCAGCCATAAAATGCATTTTTCATCCAAACAGAACGGAATTCATTTCGCATTTTAAGAGGTGTATTGATTCTTGGTTCGAAAGTAAACAGTGATGCAAGGACATGGATTAATAAAAAGATGAAGTATTGAGAGGAGATGAGAGGAAAGTGCCTAGAAGTCATCATAGAAAAGGAAAAATTATAAATAATTTATAAGGAATAATTTTCTGGGCCGATTTATAAAAAATATTTTTCTAGGCTGTCGTTTAGTCGTTTCAGATTTTTAGGCATAGATTTATAAAAAAAATCATGGCCGACTTTTAGGCATAGATCCATAAAAAATAAATTTCATGGCCGACTTTTAGGCATAAATCTATACAAAATAAATTTCATGGCCGACTTTTAGGCATAGATCTATAAAAAATAAATTTAATGACCGACTTTTAGGCATTGATTTGTAAAAAATATTTTTCATGGCCGACTATTAGGCATAGATCTATAAAAAATAAAATTAATGACCGACTTTTAGGCATAGATCTATAAAAAATAAATTTAATGACCGACTTTTAGGCATGGATTTGTAAAAAGTATTTTTCATGGCCGACTATTAGGCATTGATTTGTAAAAAGTATTTTTCATGGCCGACTATTAGGCACAGACATAAAAATTGTAATTTTATAAACTGACGCCTTTAGATAGTCCTAGAAAAATATTTTTTATAAATCTACGCCTTAAAATAGTCCTAGAGAAATATTCTTTATAAATCAATGCCTTAAAGTAGTCCTAGAAAACTATTCTTTGTAAATCTACGCCTTAAAGTAGTCCTAGAAAAATATTTCTGAAAAATATCCTTTCCTTGAATTCTTTTCATTGAATTCAAATTAATTTTTTTCCATTGCCATAAAAATCATTTATTATCGTTTCATTTGTTTCAATTCCTGAAATTTTTTTTCATTGTCCTTGTCACAATCATCAGGAGAGCAGAAAAAGGTCATAAAGTCCGGTTATAGATGAATAACTAATATCCTCATAGAGAGAGAGAGAGAGAGAGAATGGAAGCCCATTCCTGGTTATCCTTTAAGATGGATTTGAATATTTAACAGGCAAATGGAAGTCAATATTTATGTTCGTTGTTCTATTCGAGAATACATAATTTATTGAAAAGGTATGCAGTAGGCTGAAGTCCTTTAAAATATTGCAAGAAAAAAGGGAGGAGAAAATATTCTGAAGGACGACAGAAAAATATAGGCAGGGATTAAGATGTTGAAAAGTGATGCTTGAAAAAATATTCTTTAACAATCCACGCCTTGTGTAGGGTCTAAAAAAAGCTATAAAAATTCCACGGCTTTTGTAGGGTCTAAAAAATCTATAAAAATTCCACGCCTTTTGTAAGGTCTAAAAAAATCTATAAAAATTCCACGCCTTTTGTAGGGTCTAAAAAAATCTATAAAAATTCCACGCCTTATGTAGGGCCAGAAAAAAATTCCTTAAAAATCCACGCCTTGTATAGGCCCTGAAAAATATTTATTTTTGGAATCCAAGCCTTGTGTAGGCCCTGAAAAATATTTATTTTTCGAATCCATGCCTTGTGTAGGCTCTGAAAAATACCTTTATAAAAATCCACGTCTTGGGTGTGCTCTTAAAAATGTTTTTTTTTATTCCTGATGGTCCTGCATAACGGATAAAAACCCCATATTGTATAACCCAACAATGTAATTCCCTTATATTGTATCTGGCCACACATTCCATTACATACATTTGAGTGATGTTTCTTTCAGTACAACACAACATGACTAATATTGGTTATTTTTACCTCAACGTTTTCGTCTGCCCACTTGCATGACTGCCTGCCTGTCTGACCGTAAAAATCTACTAACTTGTGTAAACAATGTTTATTTTGTTTTAGCCATATAACCTGTGTTTAGAGTCGAAGTGTGTTTTTGTTTATGAGATCATGTTGTTGTTATTACAACTTCAAATGACCATTCTATAGCAAACTTCCTCCTCATCCTCCTCCCCCCAATATGGTCATAAAAACACACACCGAGACTTTACACAAAAAGAAATGAAATTTTAATTTCATTTTAAAAACTCGAACGAAATGTTTGTTGTTATTTGTGTTTCATTTTTATGAATTGCCATTCATGCATCATTTATATTGGTCGGATACATCTCGTCATATTCGAGGAAGTACTTTATGAATGACCATTAATATTTGGTTTTAATGTTCCGGCATACCTAATTATTATGAGCTGTATACAGAGAGTTTTGGAAATGCGAGTGAATGAATGGAATGTGGAGGGAAAATGTGTTTTGGAAGTATTAAAAAAAGGTTATTGTTGTGAGAGGTTGTTTCATACTTAAATGTAAACAGAGACTGTAACAGGTTTGTGACAAAGAAAAAACATTATAAATTGGGATTAAAACCCACGCCTCTTCTATGGAGGCTTGAAAAAATATTCTTTAAAAAATCCACGCCTCTTCTAAGGTTTGAAAAAATATTCGTTAAAAAATCCACGCCTCTTCTAAGGTTTGAAAAAATATCCTTTAAAAAATCCACGCCTCTTCTATGTCATAAAAAATATCCTTTAAAAAATCCACGCCTCTTCTATGTCATAAAAAATATCCTTTAAAAAATCCACGCCTCTTCTATGTCATAAAAAATATCCTTTAAAAAATCCACGCCTCTTCTATGTCATAAAAAATATCCTTTAAAAAATCCACGCCTCTTCTATGTCATAAAAAATATCCTTTAAAAAATCCACGCCTCTTCTATGTCATAAAAAATATCCTTTAAAAAATCCACGCCTCTTCTATGTCATAAAAAATATCCTTTAAAAAATCCACGCCTCTTCTATGTCATAAAAAATATCCTTTAAAAAATCCACGCCTCTTCTATGTCATAAAAAATATCCTTTAAAAAATCCACGCCTCTTCTATGTCATAAAAAATATCCTTTAAAAAATCCACGCCTCTTCTATGTCATAAAAAATATCCTTTAAAAAATTCACGCCTCTTCTGTGTCATAAAAAATATCCTTTAAAAAATCCACGCCTCTTCTATGTCATAAAAAATATCCTTTAAAAAATCCACGCCTCTTCTATGGTGGCTTGAAAAAATATCCTTTAAAAAATCCACGCCTCCTCTATGGTGGCTTGAAAAAATATCCTTTAAAAAATCCACGCCTCTTCTATGGTGGCTTGAAAAAATATCCTTTAAAAAATCCACGCCTCTTCTAAGTCATAAAAAATATCCTTTAAAAAATCCACGCCTCTTCTAAGTCATAAAAAATATCCTTTAAAAAATCCACGCCTCTTCTATGGAGGCTTGAAAAAATATTCTTTAAAAAATCCACGCCTCTTCTATGGAGGCTTGAAAAAATATTCTTTAAAAAATCCACGCCTCTTCTATGGAGGCTTGAAAAAATATTCTTTAAAAAATCCACGCCTCTTCTATGGAGGCTTGAAAAAATATTCTTTAAAAAATCCACGCCTCTTCTATGGAGGCTTGAAAAAATATTCTTTAAAAAATCCACGCCTCTTCTATGGAGGCTTGAAAAAATATTCTTTAAAAAATCCACGCCTCTTCTATGGAGGCTTGAAAAAATATTCTTTAAAAAATCCACGCCTCTTCTATGGAGGCTTGAAAAAATATTCTTTAAAAAATCCACGCCTCTTCTATGGAGGCTTGAAAAAATATTCTTTAAAAAATCCACGCCTCTTCTATGGAGGCTTGAAAAAATATTCTTTAAAAAATCCACGCCTCTTCTATGGAGGCTTGAAAAAATATTCTTTAAAAAATCCACGCCTCTTCTATGGAGGCTTGAAAAAATATTCTTTAAAAAATCCACGCCTCTTCTAGGGAGGCTTGAAAAAATATTCTTTAAAAAATCCACGCCTCTTCTATGTCATAAAAAATATCCTTTAAAAAATCCACGCCTCTTCTATGTCATAAAAAATATCCTTTAAAAAATCCACGCCTCTTCTATGTCATAAAAAATATCCTTTAAAAAATCCACGCCTCTTCTATGTCATAAAAAATATCCTTTAAAAAATCCACGCCTCTTCTATGGTGGCTTGAAAAAATATCCTTTAAAAAATCCACGCCTCTTCTATGTCATAAAAAATATCCTTTAAAAAATCCACGCCTCTTCTATGTCATAAAAAATATCCTTTAAAAAATCCACGCCTCTTCTATGGTGGCTTGAAAAAATATCCTTTAAAAAATCCACGCCTCTTCTATGTCATAAAAAATATCCTTTAAAAAATCCACGCCTCTTCTATGGTGGCTTGAAAAAATATCCTTTAAAAAATCCACGCCTCCTCTATGGTGGCTTGAAAAAATATCCTTTAAAAAATCCACGCCTCTTCTATGGTGGCTTGAAAAAATATCCTTTAAAAAATCCACGCCTCTTCTAAGTCATAAAAAATATCCTTTAAAAAATCCACGCCTCTTCTAAGTCATAAAAAATATCCTTTAAAAAATCCACGCCTCTTCTAAGTCATAAAAAATATTCTTTAAAAAATCCACGCCTCTTCTATGGAGGCTTGAAAAAATATTCTTTTAAAAATCCACGCCTCTTCTATAGAGGCTTGAAAAAATATTCTTTAAAAAATCCACGCCTCTTCTATAGAGGCTTGAAAAAATATTCTTTAAAAAATCCACGCCTCTTCTATGGAGGCTTGAAAAAATATTCTTTTAAAAATCCACGCCTCTTCTATAGAGGCTTGAAAAAATATTCTTTTAAAAATCCACGCCTCTTCTATAGAGGCTTGAAAAAATATTCTTTAAAAAATCCACGCCTCTTCTATAGAGGCTTGAAAAAATATTCTTTAAAAAATCCACGCCTCTTCTATAGAGGCTTGAAAAAATATTCTTTAAAAAATCCACGCCTCTTCTATAGAGGCTTGAAAAAATATTCTTTAAAAAATCCACGCCTCTTCTATAGAGGCTTGAAAAAATATTCTTTAAAAAATCCACGCCTCTTCTATGGAGGCTTGAAAAAATATTCTTTAAAAAATCCACACCTCTTCTATGGAGGCTTGAAAAAATATTCTTTAAAAAATCCACGCCTCTTCTAGGGTGGCTTGAAAAAATATTCTTTAAAAAATCCACGCCTCTTCTAAAGTGGCTTGAAAAAATATTCTTTAAAAAATCCACGCCTCTTCTAAGGTGGCTTTAAAAAATATTCTTTAAAAAATCCACGCCTCTTCTATGGAGGCTTGAAAAAATATTCTTTAAAAAATCCACGCCTCTTTTAAGGTGGCTTTAAAAAATCCACGCCACTTCTAAGGTGGCTTGAAAAAATATTCTGTTAAAAAATGCACGTATCTTATAAGGCTTGACCAAATATTATTTAAAAAATCCTCGCCTTGGAATAGGTCTTCAAATTTTCAATAAAAACGTGCTTCAAAATTCTAAAGTATTTTTATTACCTTTCAAAAAAAAAAATCGAAATACTTTTCCCGCACGTGCAACACAAAACAGCAATGAAAAGAAATACGAGTAAGAAACAAAAACAATACGACCTCCAACATTTTGTAAGATGATACCTTATTTTAGTTAGGTGTGTGTGTGGTCTGTATTTTAATGACCAGACAGGCAGACACTGACGAATTGGTCTGATGTTATGACGAATGATTGCTGGCTCGCATAAAACTTGAGAAAAACAAATTTTATGGTCATTTCTGCAAACGAAAAAAACATTAAAGATGTCGTCGTCGACGAAAAGAACAGAACGAAAAGATAAACAAATACAAAACATAAAATTTAAAAATTAATTAAATTAAAAACAAATTTTCAAAAAAAAGTACACTGAAATATTTTCAAGATGTTCTGAACATCTGTGATGGCGGAGAATTATACATAAAACTGGGTAACGATAAGGTGTTAGGTAGACTTTTTTGTTATTACCCGTTAAAATGGTGAATTGGGTCAGCGGTAATGAAATTCGCTTTTTGGGTAAAGAGCTCTGTTGTTGTTATTATTTTCATCTTAGCTACATAGCTCGTTAACACACGCTTATAAAAAGGTTATGGATCGCCTCTTCTACAACTTTCATTATATGGAGAAAAATAAAGTACTTTGATGAAAGGGTTGCCAGATTATTTTTCTGATAAGCCCAGAATGATGATATAATATTAAAATTATGATCGATATTTTACCAGAGATTCATAAATAATATTTTTCAAGGACTATTTTAAGGCGTAGATTAATAAAGAAAATTTTTCTAGGTCTACATCAAGCGGAGGATTTATAAAGAATATTTTTCTAGGACTATCTTAAGGCGTATATTTATAAAGTATATTTTTCTAAGACTATCATAAGGCGAAGATTTATAAAGAATATTTTTCTAGGACTATTTTAAGGCGCAGATTTATAGCGAATATTTTTCTAGGTCAGTCTTTAGGCGTAGATTTATAAATAATATTTTTAGGTCTACTTTTAAACGTAGAGTTGTGAAGGAAAATTTTCTAGGTCAATCTCTAGGCGTAGATTCATAAAGAATATTTTTCTGGGACTATCTTAAAGCGTAGACTTATAAAGAATATTTTTCTAGGTCAATCTTTAGGCGTAGATTTATAAAGAACGCCTTTCTAAGTCTATTTTAAGGCGTAGATTTATAGGGAACATTTTTCTAGGTCTATTTTAACGTGTAGATTTATAAAGAATATTTTTCTAGGACTATTTTAAGGCGTAGATAAATAAAGAACATTTTTCAAGGTCTATTTTAAGGCGTAGATTTATAAAGAATATTTTCAACGTCTATCTTAAGGTGTAGATTTACAAAGATCATTTTTCAAGGTCTATCTTAAGGTGTAGATTTATAGCGACTATTTTTATATCCCTCACCACACTGTGGTTACAAACATATGTTTGTGTTACAAACATATGTACAAAGACATAATACCCTGTATGTCTTTGTACATATGTTTGTAACAGGCAAAAGGGAACGAGATAGACACATGGTTCCTTTTGGGAATATGTATAGAATCACTTTCTGAGTCGATTTACGCATGTCCGTCTGTCCGTCCGTCCGTCCATGTATTTTTGTGAACAAAGTACAGGTCGCATTTATGATCCGATTTGGATAAGATTTGACACAGTTCACTTATTTGGCCCAAGGACGAACCCCATTGAAATGGGGAAAAATCGGTCCAGATTTAGATATAGCTCCCATATATATTTTAGTCTGATTTAAGGTAAATAGTGTACCAAAGTCCTTATATATCTTTCGATTTGTACGAAATTTGGCACAGCGTAATGAATTCGGTCTAGATTGATGTGTGTTAAGTTTCCTGAAAATCGGTTCAGATTTAGTTATAGCTCCCATATATGTTTTCGACCGATTTAAGGTAAATGGTGCAACAAAGTCCCTAAATAACTTTCGATTTGCACGAAATTTGGCACAGCGTAATGAATAAGATCTAGAATGATGTGTGTTAAGTTTCCGGAAAATTGGTTCAGATTTAGATATACCTCCCATATATATTTTCGTCCGATTTAAGGTAAATGGTGTACCAAAGTCCCTAAATATCTTTCGATTTGCACGAAATTTGGCACAGGGTAATGAATTAGGTCTAGAATGAAGTGTGTTAAGTTTCGTGAAAATCGGTTCAGATTTAGATATAGCTCCCATATATATTTTAGTACGATTTAATGTAAATTGTGCACCAACGTCCCTATATGTCTTTCGATTTGCACGAAATTTGGTACAGCGTACTAGATTAAGCCTAGAATGATGTGTGCTAAGTTTCGTGAAAATCGGTTCAGATTTAGATATAGCTCCCATATATATTTTCAACCGATTTAAGGTAAATGGTGCAACAAAGTCCCTAAATATCTTTTGATTTGTAAGAAATTTGGCACAACGTAATGAAGTAGGTCTAGAATGATGTGTGTTAAGTTTCCGGAAAATCGGTTCAGATTTAGATATAGCTCCCATATCTATTTTCGTCCGATGTAAGGTAAATAGTGCACCCAAATCCCTATATATCCTTCTTGAAAATCGGACCAGATTTTGATATAGCTGCCATATATATTTTCTTCCGATTTTATGTAAATTGTGCACTTGTGTGTCCGATTGCCACACAATTTTGTACAATGAACTGTAGTTTATCTCTGCCAAGTCTCGTTGAAATCGATTCAGATTTTGATATAGCTTCTACATATATTTTTTCGTCCGATTTAACGCCAAATTGACACATATTTTGCACAACGTACTGAAGTTAGTATAACCTAGAGGTAGGATATAAATGCTTAAATAAGGTGGGTCCAATCGGCACAAAATATTGCACTACGTACTGAAGTTACTATAACATAAGAAGCAACTCTATATCTGACCAAATGAAACATTTAGTATAGGTGGCAGAATGAAATGTTTATGGATCCATTCATGGTCCTTCAAAAATTCGATACAGAAATAATATTACAAAACAATGAATCACCTTAATATTCAAATATGAATTTTACTTTTTATGATATTTATTTTGGCCACATAGCAATGAATTCAATTTAATTGCAAAGATTTCATTTTTATTCGCGGTTGCAATAATTTTTTACTCTGTCGCATTGTTTGTCTATTTTTTGTTTATGAATTTGTCATAGGTCCAAACATGTTGTAGATCATGTCGTTTTTAATGTTCACATTCAATCGCACAAGAAAAAAAAAACCCAACAATATTAGCATTTTTTCAAAGGCCACAACAATAGTCAAAACGAAAACGACAACAACAATAACAAATAATAATAATAATAGTTTTTGTTTCTGTTTTATTGTTCATTGCAATAATAATATGTCTGTACATTGTTATAGTTTATATATTTACATTACAGTCGTATAAACATATATTTACCTTTGCATAACGACGAAATGATTGCTCCACATCATACAAGCCGCGACGTGATAACATGTTTGCCCAACTTGGCTGGTTGGCCTGGCTGTATGGTTATAGA